GTCTGGCCTGGACAGGGCACACAGTCAAAAAACGCATTGCAGGTCCAGTCTGGCCTGGACAGGGACCACCGTCTGTCTGTTCTTGCAACCTATGATGTGCTAAACAAGGCATTGCCGGTCCAGTCTGGCCTGGACAGGGCACACCGTCTGTCTGTTCTTGCAACCTATGATGTGCTGAACAAGGCATTGCCGGTCCAGTCTGGCCACCAGGTTGGAGGATCGGAAGGTCTGGTATAACAGGGAGGGAGAGTGGAGAGTCCCCTGATTCCGGAGGCACCACACAACATTGATGAAGTCTGTGTATATATAGCCAAGTACCCCAGGCGTCAGGTACCAGTTATTTCCATCAGAGCGGCCCATAAGTGGTTCTGCAAATAGTTGACAAGTCAGAGCAGAAAGGCCATGACAGTCTGCAGGTGGTCTTCCGATTAGTATTTGTTCTCGGATAGATCCTGTTCAAAGCGAGTGTCGAGAGAGGTTTGAGCGATCGACAGAGTTCTGACTTCACAAAGGCAAGGTGTGTGTCTGGCATACAAAGTATGGCAGTTTACATGGTCGTTCCATGCAGGTCCTCATCCAAAGGTGCGCTCCATCCGCAATGTCGAAGGAGTGGGACTGGAAAGTCATTTGAAGAAAACGAGGGGCCTTGAACGACAAAGTGAGAGACCGTCTAACGCTGCCACGAAATCTGTCATCATGGGAGGTCTGGTGGGAGCGAGTTCGGGTGAGACCAAAGTGTGGACCATTTATCGACATCGGAACTGGGGAGGGAGGGAGGGACAGAGGACAAGGGTCGGCCATTCAGTCAGGAACCTGGGACATACCAGGACATAACAGGACACATCAGGGCACATGGTTACCATAAACAGTCTACAACAGCAGACGATGAAAGTTGAAACCATGTAAAGAAGCAAGCAGACACAATAGGTTTTATTTCCACAAGGGAGACAACAGTACGTCTATTCAAGGAGGTCACAAAGCAGCAATGTGCTGTCATGTGACGTCAACTGTGTGATGGTGCTGCCAGTTACTTTAGCAGCTGGACCTCACGCAGATCATCTTTTTGTCACCAAACAGCAGTAAATGAATCAAGCAGTAATGCCGGATAGGTTAAAAATTGACCTTTGAAAAAATGTCAAACATCATTATTGAACTTTACATAAAATATTTTCTGAAAACTACACAACATTAATGAAATTATACTCTTGTCAAAAAAATTATTTACTGAAATTTTATTACATCACATTATTCCACTGTAACCCCCTGTGCTATAAAAATAAAGATGTGTCATCATTTTGTAATTCGTGCTGCATTTATCAATGTCTGTATATTTCTGCAGTACATGTTATGACCATATCCTCAAGTTTATTTTTCTATTCCATGTTAGCCACACAACAATGTACAGGGAGGGAGAGAGAGAGAGAGGGAGGGAGGGAGGGAGGGAGAGGGAGGGAGAGAGAGAGAGAGAGAGAGAGAGAGAGAGAGGGAGGGAGGGAGGGAGGGAGGGAGGGAGGGAGGGAGAGAGAGAGAGAGAGGGAGGGAGGGAGGGAGAGAGAGAGAGAGAGAGAGAGAGAGAGAGAGGGAGGGAGAGAGGGAGAGAGAGAGAGAGAGAGAGAGAGAGAGAGGGAGGGAGGGAGGGAGGGAGGGAGAGATCACCAAACACCTTTCAGTGGTAGCACTCCCATCCAAAGAGTTACTTCCCTTTGACCATGGAATCTAACTGGCTGTTTTTGGAATTGAAGATGCAATCAAATCCCCACTGTGATGTTATAATTGGTTCCTGCTCTCTGTAAAATGTGTATCCTGTAGTAGATAAAATGAGTATGCTTTAAATCATAAAAAGTTAAAAACATCCTTTCTCTTGGCATTATCTGGCAGTCCTCTACAGTTCATAGAGCAGCAGGTAGAACCTAAGTTAGCCATTGTCAACAAAAGATTTGTTCACATACAAAGAGGCCCTATGAAAGATTGAAATTACACCCTTTCTACACATGCATACACTTTCACAACTATCTGGAGGAAAAGTTCAAAACCATAATTGACTGAAATCAAACTCACACTTGCTTCTACAAACTTCAAGTGGCACCATGGGGTGGGGTGGGGTGGGGTGGGGTGGGTTGGGTTGGGTTGGGTTGGGTTGGGTTGGGTTGCAGTGGAGTGGGGTGGGGTGGGGTGGGGTGGGGTGGGGTGGGGTGGGGTGGGGTTGGGTGGTTGAGGTGGCAAGGTAGGGAGGCAACTTATGGTAGTGGCAGTGACTGGTGTTTATGTGACCTTGACATTTGCAGTTTGCAGTTTGAATTTTGAATGAGGTCTTGGAAATTTTGAATTTTTATGAATTGTTTAATTTTTTATTTCAAATCGGTTTTTGAGGTATGGAAATCAATAGGTGGTGATGTGTGTGTTGTTGCTAACTTGGCTGCAATGTCTGCTATGTTGTTTCCAGGTGTGTTAGATTGGCCAAGTACAGATAGTAGGCTTATACATCTACTTGTTAGTTTTAGTTCTGAAATTAAATGGATAATATTGTTGATTAAGTCGAGTCAGGTTTTAGAATGGTTGTTTTGAATTTGTTTTAGTGAGCCCAGTTTATATAAGAGGGTAATGTAAGGGACTTTTTCTGGGTGAGTTTCGAATTTATGGATTGTACATTTCTTAATGTTGTCATCATCTTGTGTGAGTGTTTTGTATTTTGGGTAATGTATGGCCCCAGTAATTTAATCTGGTTTGTTGTCTGCGATGAGTGACTGAAAGTGTAGTAATGCATCAGCAGTAATGCATTATGGGAAGTACCAGTCCTGGTACGAGTGGCTATTTTTAGGGCTTTATATTGTACGGATTTTAGCTTATCATTATTTTCGAAATTTTTATAGAAATGCCACATAAAACCAGAGTGGCATGATCAATGTTTGGTTGTATTTGTGTTTTGTATTTACTAAGAAGTGTTTGTTTGTCTGAACCCCAGTTGGTGCCTCTGATGGCCCTCATTAGATTTAAATCTTTTTCACAAAAGTTGACCAGTTTTTATATATGATATGTCCAGGTGAGGTGTTGGTCAAATGTGGCTCCTAGACATTTTGCTTCTTTTTGGAATGTGATTTCTTCATTGTTTAAGAGAAGTTTGGGTGTGTAATTTATCATATGTTGTTTTTTTTAAAAGCATGCCAATAGTTTTTTTAAGGTTAATTTTAAATCCCCACTTAGTAGCCCATTTGTTAATGCTGTCAAGTGGAGACTGGATGTTAGTTTTAATGACTTTTAATGATGATGATGAGGTCCATAATAAAAGTCTGCAAATTTTGCTGTTGAAAGATTATTATTTTTGATGGAATTGGTAAAAATGTCTATCATGAAATTAAATGTCAGCGACAATATGCTACCTTGTTGGGTACAATTTTCTAATGGGTGGGTATCTGATGAGGCTTCATGGCTTTTAACTGTGATATATTTCTGTCTGTTAAAAAGGAGTGAAAGAAATTTAAAAATCTCCCATTAATGACTCTATTTTCTAGTTTTTGAATTAGGCCATTGTGTCCAACCCAACCATATCTGAAGTTTACTAAAGTCTATAAATATGGCCAAGGTCTTGTTCCAAATGTAAAATGTGGTCTAAAGTTTGCCTATTGTTTGTGAAGCCACTCTAGTCAGGGCTAATAAGGTTGTTTATATGTTTGAGCCTGTTATTAATAATTGATTCTAGAATTTTACGTAAATGTGAGGGTAGTGATATGGGACAGTAAGAGTCAGGCTCATTTTGGGGTTTTCCTGGTTTTGCATGTTGTTCATAGTTTGTTGTATAATTGAAGGAGTAACCTTAGCATTTTAATGGGAACTTTATTTAAGATGATGTAGCTGATGTAGCTGATGTAGATGATGTAGCTGATGTTATCTAAACCTGGGGCTGAGGCTGTATTTTTCTTTTTCAAGGCTGAACGAGTTCATGAATGTGGAGTATTTTGTTGATAGGCAGGCGGGAGAGGTCTGGCCTTTCGGTGTATGTGGGATGCTTTGTGATGGTGGTTATGAAATTTGGGAGGGAGGGGGGGGGGTGGGGGAGAGAGATTAGTTGGTGAGGTTTTAACAAAATGGGCAGCAATAACATTAGCTTTTTCTTTATGTGTGGATAGGTCCTTAATGTTTGGGTAAACTTGTGGTTTTTTTAAGTACCTTTTATGGCTTTAAATTTGTTCCACAGTCTCCTGGAATTATTATTGCCAATTTGTAAGGTGTTACAAAATGATTGCCAGTGGCCTTTCTTTGCTGCCTTAATAAGTTGTTTTACTTATAAATATGGGTAGTTTTGAACCGTTTTTGTTTTTTCAATTTCAGAGCTCCACTGGGATGGGTTTGGGGTGTGGTTTGTGGGGGATGCATTTTATAGCTATTTCATGTAATTTATCATTAAGGTTTTTATTGAAAGTGTCAATGTTTGTGTCGTGGATTTGGTCTGTGTCTGTTTGGTTGGATAGTTTTGTAAATAGTTATGGCTATGGTAAGGTAGCTTGAAGTCTTGTATGTTACAGATGATGATGATGATGATGATGATGATACTTCAATTTAGACTTATTAAGATCTAACATACACCCATACAAGCTCGTTTGTTGTGATATTGTCATTTTTTTCCAAGAATCCAAAAAATATGTCACCAAGGTTAGTGCCAGCCCAATAACAAGGTGGGAAGTACCGCTCTCTGTATCATAGCCCCGATTGTCTAATCTCCAGAGCTTTACTGTGCCTGAGTGGTCTAACCATGCAAGAGTGCTTTCTCCATGTCTCAGCGTATTCCGGGTAGTCCCTGACTCGTGGGAGAGACTATCAATGGACATAAGGGTGTTTGGGTTGGGACATCTTGATACAGTGCTACAATAATAGCACTGCATTTATTCAAGTTTCAAGTGCTTGGGAATGGGACCCAATTAATTGCTTCTTTCTTTTTTTTCCCGCTTCTAAAGCAAAGGGAAAGACGAAGTCCTACCAAACTCTTATCGACCGATCTCACTCACCTCGAGCCATGGAAGCCATGGTTACGAAAAGGCTCATGCATCATCTTGAAACTGGCAACCACATCAAACCACACCAAAGTGGCTTCAGGAAGGGACACTCGCGTCTAGATCATATTCTAAGACTGGAAAATGAAATAAAAAAAGCTAAATTAAACAGACAATACATAGCTGCAGTATTTCTGGACTTCAGCAAAGCCTTCGACATGGTATGGCATGACGGACTCCTCACAAAACTGGCACAAAACGGAGTAGAAGGGAACATGGCAAACTTCATAGACAGCTTCCTGCAAGACAGGTCACTATCAGTTAAAGTAGGGAACAATCAATCTGATCCTATGTCACTGGACAATGGCACGCCACAAGGCAGAATTATAAGCCCAACCCATTTCAACATCATGATCAATGATCTTTTTGATCTGGTCAACTTTCCTAACCAAACTTCTAAATTCGCTGATGACGGAGCAATATGGGTAGAGCACAGAGATATTTCACAAATCATAAAAAAACTCCAGTCAGCCCTGGACGGAGTATATCTATGGTGCAATAAATGGGGATTCACCCTTTCAAGTGAAAAAACTGTTCAAGTTCTATTCAAATGCCAGGGAAACATACTATGATATCCTGTGTCTTCATAAAAGGCAAACCAATCAAATTGGAAAAATCTGCAATATTTCTTGGGGTGATCCTTGCTCAACGCCTCACTTGGCGCAAACATATAGAATATGTGGAAAACAGATGTCAAAAAGACCTGAACGTATTACGGGCAATTTCAGGCACATCTTGGGGCACATCGAGGGACACTCAGCTGGACCTCTACAAATCTCTTATCAGACCATGGTTGTGAGGCCTTTCACTCAGCATCAAATACTGTCTTGAGCTGCCTAGACAGAATACAATACAAAGCCCTAATGCTGGCCACAGGCGCAGCGACAGGCACCTCACTAGAAGCACTACAAGTAGAAACAGGAAAACTCCCAAGAAGAGAGCAGGCAATATTATCATTCTGGGGACAAACATCAAACCCTTTGGTTAAAAAGATATGGCAAGACAAAAACACTCAAGATGAAGCCCTAGCTCGACGAAATCCCTCACTAAAGCCATCTGGGATATTAGTACGTGAACTCATCCAAAGTCACAATTGTGATGACATTCAGCCTCCAGAAAGTCACTACAAACGGTTACACCCTCCCTGGACTCCCAAAGTTGACACTACTTAAACATCAGAAGTCACTAAAAAAGAAAACCCAACCCTACTACGATCAGTAGCTATCACTAAAATTCAAACTACCTGGAACAGCTGGGCCCATATATACTCTGATGGATCCAAGAATCCTACCAACAACAGTATCCATATCCACAGGTCCAAACCCCAAGCACATTCGGTTCACCTGCCTGATGGTCAGTCAGTATTCACGGCGGAATTGGAGGCAATTCATCATGCACTCAAACTCAAACCGGAACTCCGCTAGGTGCACTTCAAGCCATCGGTGGCAGAAACTCAAACTCCAGGCCAAACACACTCAACAATATTCTATACGAATATACAAAACTATCGGACCAAGGGCAACAGGTGGAACTGTGTTTTATCCCCTCTAACATAGATATTCATGCAAATGAAAAAGCAAACTCACTGGTGAAGCTAGCTCTACACAAAGCGTATGTACAGCCTATTCCCTTTAGTAAACAAGAGAAAAAAGAGCAAAATAAAAGCCTCCCTAGCAGAAAAATGGCAAGCCCAATGGGACGCAAGTAAGATCGGCAGATGGCTATACAAAATTCAACCCAAGGTCCAACATACGTATTCATACGTATTCTTAATCAAAACGGAACTAATAAAACGCATCTTAAAACACAATAACTCACCAAATCAAAATCACATAAACAAACAAACATCCACCATACCCAGCTCCCTTAGTTCTCCTCCCCAATCCCATCGGCATCTATTCCAAATCTCAAAATTCCCAAATTCTATATAAGCAACCCCTAAAACCCCCCTCTTGGGTTGCACAGACCACCTTCGCCCCTTTCGGAAACACATTAAATGGCCTGGCCGGGCCCGTGTGCGAAATACGCATCAGTCGGAAAGCGCACCAAAGTAAGTAAGTAAGTAAGTAAGTAAGTAAGTAAGTACATACAATAGTGGTGTAAAGGGGGTTATAAAAGTTGGTATATTTTTACTGACTGACATTTTCATCATGAGTTTTAAACGAAAACGCCATGCTTACGATGCTGAATTCAAACTGCGAGTTTTCGCTCCAGCTGATATATTTTCTCACGGGTTCAGAATTCTATATACACCGATTCACAAAATGGCGCTTGGTTGTTGATGGCAACTATAACGATCATTATGAGATTTAAAAAAAACACGAGAAACAGCTTCCCACATTATGAAAGTGGATGACTGGTTTGTTAAATCTTTATTAGAAATAATAATGACTTTTTCAATATAATTACAACGTTTTTCATCTTATATTTTTGAATATCTGCGAGTACCGGCACATGTCTTGCAGTCCGACTTCGCAGTGTTTTTTGTCTTTCAATTCCTGATTCGGCTTATCTGCGGGTCATATCATTTTCTTTCGTATTTCAATGGTCAAATTAACACCTCGGCTTATCTACGGGGTCGGCTTATCCGCGGTCATATACGGTAAGCCAAACTCATACTCAAATGAAAAGAAAATTGAAATTGCCATCTCACACCTCAGACTCGGTCACAAAAAGCACTATGACAAGGTTTGTTCATCTTGCAATCAGGCTGAAACAATTGATCACTTGTTACCAGAATGTCAAGACCAAGACCATGCCCCAGCCAGTGCTAGGTTAAAACAAGAGTTGCAGTTAGATCTGCTATCTGTCATACATCTCCTAAAGCCAAGAGATGCAATAGCGAAGGCCAAACTAACTCTATTTCTGAGAGATGGACAGCTACTCGAACGCATATAAACAGAGCAGCCAAGCATAAAAATGAAATCATATCAATATAAGAAAATAGAAATCATGTGAATACCAAACTCTCAATAGATATGTGTACCCTACTCACACAAAGGAGTCCCAAAGAGGGACAGGTCAGCTGAAATTGCTTATGCAGAAGGCGACCTCTTAAACACTTAATGCAACAACAGTTATTGCTTTTTTTTTCAATTAAGAACGGTCCAGGTTCGGTTAACACAAGAATTGCAATTACTGTATTTGACGTGATAAGCGCCCTGCTCTAATAAGCGCCCACGGCAATATTTGCTAATATGTTGGCTAGTGAACAATCCCAATTAGCTCCCCTTCCGATTGATCAACCTACACAAGACTTATTTATACGCATATAATACGCACTCGTGTGTTTATATGAACCCTTAATTCTGGGCAATTAAATTCTTGAAAAAAATATCTGTCACACAAAACATTTCAGGCTTTCGGCATAAACCACTAAAAAGATTGAACATTTACAAACTATGTACAGTTTAAAACAAATAATTACAGATCCTACAAGAATAACCTCTTAATTCTAAAACTTTGATCGATTTAATATTTGTATCCTGTGTAAACAATGAGAGGTCTTCTGGTGTACTTGATCCAATCTCCGTGGTCTAGTGGTAGAGCGTCCGCCCGGAGAGCGGAAGGTCCGGGGTTCTATCCCCGACCGTGTCATACCAAAAGACGTTAAAATATGGTACTTGTTGTTACCCTGTCTGGCGCTCAGCATTAAGGGGCTAAAACAAGGACTGGTCGGCTCGGAGTCAGTATACTGTGTCTGAGTGGGATATTCAATGACATGTTAAACTGCGGCATGGTATCTCAGTGTGCTAGCACTATAAATCGGCATCAGTCCGGACTAGTACAAGCAGCCACACAAACACACACACGTACATGCACGTCGCTATATAAGTGCAATAATCTTGAACGCGACGTTAAACCCCATTTCACCTCACCTCTTAATTCTAAAACTTTGATCGATTTAATATTTGTATCCTGTGTAAACAATGAGAGGTCTTCTGGTGTACTTGATCCAATCTGTAGCGATCACTGCCCTATCTTTGTTCATATAAAAGAAACTATACCCAGAAACTACGCGTTTAAGAGAAAAATATATAACTTTCCCTTGGCAGATGCAGATGGTATAAATCAAGGTATTAATGAGATTGACCTGGATAGCCTATTCTCATCTGATAATATTAACATTATCACTGAAGATCTGACTTCTAGACTTAAAGACATATTTGATAAATACATTCCAACTAAGACTGTCACAATACGAACAAAGGATCCTCTATGGATAAATAACGACATACTCTCTCTTATTAGGAAACGTAATCATATTCACAAAATTGCTAAAAACAGAAATCAACCGTCAGATTGGGTAAAATTTAGGCTTTGCAGGAATAAAGTAATATCATCAGTCAGAACAGCCAAAAGAGCTCATGACTTAAAAATAGATAACATCATGAATACTTCATATGGTACTAAGATCTGGTGGCGACTAGTTAAAACATATGTCAAAACGCACACCGAAAATTTGTCGTTTCCGTCACTCAATAGTATCAAATAATGTTTTATATCATGATGTTGAAGATATTACCAATGTCCTAAATGAATGTTTCACTGATCAAGCAAGAGTAACAAACCCCGATTCTGACCTTCCATCTATTGGACCATATACAATCGACGATCCATTACTATCTGTGAATTTAAATCTAGAAGAAGTTCAATATATTCTTCTTTCTGTAGATACAACTAAGGCAACAGGGCCAGATGGTATAGGTAACAAGTTACTTAAATTAACAGCGACTCGTCTAGCTCCGATCCTGACAAAATTATTTAACTTGTGGCTCAAAAACAAACCCTTCCCGTTAGTTTGGAAACAAGCATCAGTAACACCAATTCACAAACAAGGCAATGTAGATGCGATGCTCAAAGTATAGACCTGTAGCGCTCACATGTTGCTTAGCCAAAGATTTTGAAAAGTGTATATTCAAATAAGTGTTGAACTTTTTCAGAGAAAACAAATTGTTGACAATTTTACAGTCAGGATTCGTGCCTGGAGATTCCACATCTTATCAACTCACTTACCTACATAATTTTATTGCTAGGGCATAAGATGAAGGTAAAGAAATCAGAGCTGTTTTTTTAT